TTCCTGATGAAAAAGAAAGGAAAAAAAGAACGGAGGGGAAAAAGCAAAGCTTGTGCAATCAGGGCCACGCATCACATGTATTCCCAGCCCAAGGGTTATTTCTCTCCCTCTCTTCCCTGAAGCGTGTCTTAACAACTGAGCTGATTCAATGCAGAATGTCATTAACAATCTAACAGTGAACTAGGACTGGGGATCATCCTTATCTTACAGAAGCAAGCTAAAAATAATCATCTTGGGCAAATCTAACATCCTGACAGGGTGGTAGGATCCCAAAAAACTGATTCCAGTGTATTAATAAACACAAATGCTGAACCATTTCTTGCAGAGCTTTTTGGAGCTGTGTAAATCCTTCCAACAAGCATCAGATAAAGCTGTCAAGGTTGGGGAAGAATTACTTCTATGTATGTGATTAAGCCTGAGCATTTAAAAAGACTTAGGCTGCTATAAACAATTAGGTATGGTAGGTCAGTGCCATCCCAGTGTCATCGCTGACAGTTTCATTACTTAGGTCTGCCATGGATATAATTCTCCAGGCAACCGCCTGGAAAGTCATCATAGCCTTGACTGTTTCATGACCAGCTTCTGACCGGCCCACAAATGGCTCAAGCAGGGCAGGCCAAAACCTCACAGGCTCAACTGTAACTTTCAACTTTTATCACTGTGAAATATGGTGGCACAGCAGGCTGTGGCTCTGTCCCTCCTCTGTACCAGCTAGAAGCCAGCTGGAACATGAGGGGCCAGAGGAATGGTCCTTCTTGTTTTTTTCACTGTGCAGAACAAGCAACTACCCAACTGTAAGTTTTATATCCATCCATCATACTGCAAGCTTACACCGTCAATTTGGATGGAGCCATCCTACTTTGTATCTTCATTCATGCCCTCTGACACTTTTCTACCTCCCTCTCCCTTCGTTCCCACTTGTGTCTTTTACTAACACCTCTCTACACTTACCTTTCCTGCCTTATTCGTTCCCTCTCTTACATCCATGATTGCACCCTCTTCACACTACTCCCTCTTTCTTCTCCTTTGTTACACCCTGGATGCCACAAATCCTCCCTTGGCCTCAAAAAAAGTCATGAAGAGGGAGAGAAGAAGGAAAGAAGAGAGTGATTCTGTATGACGCAGTGAGAAATGCAGTGTACCCCTTGAATGAGGTCCTTTGAGAGGTAACCAAGGACAACCCAGGTTACCCGAATTTCCTTTGGTGAACCCCTGCTTTCTCCAGGTCATGGGTCTTGTTCTAAATTTGTGCTTCATTGGGTAGAAACTTTGCTTGAGGGCTCATGTGTAAGACTCAAGGATTAAACCCAGAGGTACATAAGCAGGTAAGATGACACCAGATTCAGTACACTATCACATGTCTGTGCCAGGCCTCAGTTGTCCCCAGGAAGCCCATATGATTACTTAGCTTCCATCTCTTTTTGCAGGTAGTTTTTCTGCAGCAAGGAGTTACTCATTTTTCCAAAAGTAAGCAGAGCATTTATTGTTCAAAAATGCTGCCTCTGACTGTCAAGGCCTTTGCAAACACTTAGTGATAAGCATGGACATTCATTCTTAAGTGTAATGACGAACATGGTAAACAAATCCAGTCTCACTGAAGTACAGAACAGAGACACACCTCCAGTCCCAACAAGTATTGCTCATACTTCGTAGGCAAAATCAAGAAACCCTGGCCTTTGGTGCTCACTGGTGTCCTCGCAAACACAAACAGAGGCAGTGATTACCATTCTGTATATTTTTCCAAGTTGTGAAGTGCAGTCGTGCTTGTTTTACATTGACCAGATAGCTTGAAGTGCCAAGTTTCCAAAATAACAAAGTGTAAGAGGAATCTAGCTCATATGTTTACTAAATACTAGGTTTGCCTTTTGAAAGAAAAGACAAAGAACAGAGGAGACTGTTATTTCTCAGCTGTTAAGTGAAACAACACAACAATAATTATTGTGTGTAGCTTCCTCTGCTCTGTCCAGCCTCAGCCGGACGTAGAGACAATCTCTTTCCGGGCATCTCACAAACACTGATGCTGAGGTGACACTCTACTTTATGGACACAGCAGCTCAAATTGGGTGGCTAAGGAGGAGGTCTTCGTTTTATCTATAAGGTATTCACTGGCACCAAGTCATGTGAGAGGCAGATACAGAAAATGTGCTTAAAGATGCTGAGTGGCTTATCTTACAGGATAAACTCTAGGGTTTATAAACTAACAGCTTGGCCACGGATTGCCTTCCCCAAGCCACAAACACCTGATAGCTTCAATTCCAATCATGAAATTACTAACGTGGTGGCAAACAGCAAATGCTCTCAACTACATGACTTGGCAAATAGTACAAAGACAACATCGACAACAGTAATTAATGTACACAGACCTGTTTAACCTAGCGATCCTAGAAGCCCTTTGCAAACCTCAGAGATCATTTTATGGCAACCAGGCTCAGAGAAAACGGCCTGGGCCAGAATGAACAAGCACGATGGGTTACTCTTACCCACCACAAAACAAGTCTTCAACCATAAGCAGTAGGACTGAAGACCTGGCTTAAGGCAGGAAAAAATTACTGACAGCCTTTCAGGTGCTGAGTATATAACAATTTCTCACCTAGCCTCTTCCTGAGATCCAGTGCTGCTGTCCAGTACTTACACCTCCTCTGGTAAACTGAAACATTGTACAATACCCAAAATTTACAATTTCCATTTGTCTTAGCAATATATAAGAACATATTTTAATAACGTCAAAATGTTGGGCCAAATTTGATTACCCACTCTTCCTTTTTAGCTGCTGCTGCTGCTTCTTCACTAAAGCCAAGCAAAGATGCAAAATTTCTGCCCAGAGAAAAAGACCTTTCTGTGATTTATTATTAGAATATAAAGTCAACGTAGATAAACAACAGGACATGACAATCTTACTCTAACTCCCTCTAAATTTACCAAAACTTTGTAACTCAAAACCAGGTTCTCCATATGCCAGCCTCTAAATTACCTGACAGACAGATAGTCGACCGTAAAAGCAGAATCAGTCACAGCAATGTGGTAAGATGGCTGAACAAGAGCTAGGTTATTACCAATTACGGCACTTCACTTACCCTATAGTAGTCCGTGCTGTACACATCTCTAGACATCCCAAAATCCCCAATCTTCACGAGTAGGTTCTCACCAACCAGACAATTCCGGGTAGCAAGATCCCGATGCACGAAGTGCTGTGACGCCAGGTAAACCATACCAGCTGCAATCTGCTGGGCAATGTGAAGCATCTGAGACTGGGTCAGCTCAGCAGGACGGTTGCCTTCTGCCATCAGTACTGCATCTGGTCCATGTGCCCTGCACCAAAATGCAAGCTGATTAAGTGATAGGCCACTTGTAAGCTGGAGAGGTGAAAGGCATTAGTGGGCCTAAAACCACACAACTGACTCGCTCAAATATAATAACAAAAAGGGCTACAAATTCATCGGTGAAACAGGGGAAAATTTGTGTCTTGGCTTTTTTCATTTACTGTTTTCCTTCATTGTGTGAAAGACAGGTGGTGTGAAGAGCATTACACAACAGGTGATATATTACTCATGGAAATAAGGCATATGCGTTCATAATAATACCCCTCTGTCCAAAACCAACACTTTTCTCCTGTTCTGTTCTAGTAATCTTTTCTGGAGAAAGGCTGGCAAATGTAGCTGTTTGGTATCTGAGGAAAACTTTATCACTCTGTAAGAGTGAAAGGCAATAGAGTGAAAGGCAATGTAGTGGCATGCATAGCATCACTTTTCCTATGACCAGCATTCCTTGATTTCTACAGAGAGACAGACCATTGACACTTCCCTCCTTTCTTAAAGAAGAGCAAGCTAACTTCCTTCTGAGATGCCATCTGAGAAACAAGGGCAGCAATTTTAGATTTACACTTCTAATTTCCTATCCAAACGCACAGCAGGAAACCATCTTTGTTTATTTTATCACCAAGGGTGAGTCCTGCCTGAGATGGGAATTCTTGACAATAGGAAGAGGACACAAAACACACACTATTTGGAACAACTAAACAGCTTCAGAAATAGGAGCTTTTCAAGACCTCACAAGTCCCTAAGATGCAGTAATCAACTGATTAATGAGAAACTTGTATACACACCAGCAGAAAGAGAACAGTTTTGTATTTGGGAAGCCCGGCCAAGTACTAGAACACAAGTGCTTCACCCATCTTAACTATGTTTGCCCTGGTATACATGTGTAACATCCTAGCATCTTGAAGATATAGATAAAAACATTCCTACACGCAACATTTTATAGTAAGCATTACTAGCTAATCCTTATCCAATTAATGAGGTCATCTGGCAATCATTCCTCATCTGATACACCTTATAATATTCTGAATATCCCTTTCCATCCATTCCATTATTCTGCATTTTCAGAAGCCTTTTTTATTCCATTCCTGCAGACTATTCTTCCTAAGAGACCACCTCTCCTCTTCCTTCTTCAACTTTTTTTTTTGAAAAATACTCTAGAATGGCTTTTTATTTTCTCTCAGAAGTCATTCCTTCCTACAAAGAGGAGTTTCAGAGAATTACCTTTCTAATCAATAGAGGTTAGGCCTTAATTCGTCCCCAGGGGAAGGGCACAGGAATTTGGAAAAGAGTTGCAAATTAATCAAAATCTGTGAGATCAAATCTGACACTACCTATTAGAAATATGATATTACAATTGCCCCAAGGGAAGAACTTCACGAGAAAAGTGACAGATGTGAGAAAGAAATGAAGGAGGGTGTGTAGCATTGCTGGGACTGCATCTGGTACCAGGCAAAGAAGCTCTCTGCCACAGGGTACATACAGGCAGCCATTCAACTGGTCTGGGTTGCAGGGGAATAAGCAGGAGGATATGAAATCTCCAACCAAGACTCACAGGCAAATTCCTACTGAAAAGCACTGTACTTTTTCATTGCATGGATTTTTTTAATGACTGCTCTCAGACATGAAGCTCTGAGTTGCTAAGTTAAAGAACTCTTCATCTTTTGCTAGCTTCTTTCAGGACATGGTCTGTATCTAATGAAACTTTTGGATCATTCCTAACACTCCATCCACCTTGCTTGTCCTCTTGGTGCTGGCTGTAAATGAGGTGCTCCTCAGTGTCTGCAACAGCAAGGAACATTGACAGAGCTTTCTTTGGATCCACATCAGCCTCCACTAGCCAGAACAAGCACAGGGCAGGCTTTGAGGCTTTGCTCCCAGATCTGGAACAGCCTTTGGCTGCATGCAGACAGCAAGGCTCATTTGGGTTAAATTTCAGATTCATTTTTCCCCGACAGCCTTTGGTGGCGCTGCAGGGTAAGAAATACAGGCTCTTACAGCCCGCTTACAACTAACCTCTGATCTGCAGTACAAGCTGCAGCAGATGTGAGAGGAATGACAAATTGGAGCTTAGTTTTAACAGTTTGTCCCAGCATAATCATTTTATGTTCTAAAGACAAGGGCTGATTAATAATTAAAAAAAAAAAGAGAAGACCTAAGGTAGGAAATATACTGTCTGCTAAACTACCTTTTGTACAATAATTCAAAATCAGAGTCACAAGGTAAGAAAAGGCCAATCAAAAAGAATCAAAGAATAAGTATTTGTTATGAAGTAAGAAATTATTTCTTATCAGCTGCAAATTTGGCTTCTTCTAATGGAAATTCAATGTTCTGAAAAAGTACTGGGATGGCATTTTAGGAAACTGCAGTCTTCTCCTGATCGATGGCAGAGGTCCAAGCAGGCAAATGTAAATGACCCAACATGGCTCTGACAATATATTTAAATCCTCTGCCAGAGAGACAATCAGTCTGGGAAAAGTAGTAGTGTTTGCTCTGCATCCCCAGTTCAGGCCCCGGTCTCCCTGCCAAACCTGGAAGCCCTGCCAATAAGGGAGGATGCTAGTTGATGTCATTTGCTTTTACGGTGTGGCTATTTGTTCAGCAGAGATTAGAAAGACAGCAAACTCCTTTCACATAGGCTATCAAAAATGCATAAATGGCGATGCTAGCAGTCACTAGCCATTTCAGTCAGATAGGAAATCTGAACCCATTTAAAGGGACATCAGTTTTGATTGTTTTACAGCTTTGTCACAGATATCTTTCCAAAATGGTGGTAGCCCTAGTTATCTGCAGCAGGAGAGATCTCAGTATATTGAAATGCCTTTGTGATATTCTTTGATGAAAATGACATAGAAGACCTTGAAAGAACAGTCCCTTATGCAAATGTTTTTTTTACATAGGAGCAAAAGCTGTCTCTTAACGGCTTTTTTTTACGTCAACAAGTGCAGGCTAGTGGAAATGGCACATACACAAGGCCACTGCTCATAACTTCCTGGTTCATGAGTTACCTATTATTGTGAACCTTAGGTATCATCTATTTATTTATGACTGCTTTAGTGCCAAATTTACATTTCCGATGCACATTCCTGAACAGCTTTATGAAATAAAGCCCTAATCCGGACCCCAAGATGTAACATTTTCCATTGCACTGAAGTTTCCATGGCTCACAGTTTTCTTGCTTCAGATTAATGGCAGTCTTTCCAAAACACTGAGAGGAGGGAAGAGAAAAGGGGTTAGATTTCAAAAGCTCTTAGACGCCTACAGATAGTGATAGGTGTTGAGTGGGATCTTCCCAAGTGCTACCAGAAAGCCTGCAAAAAAATGATTCCT